TTTTTTTATTCTTTTGCGTAAAACTAAAATTCATGCCAATATTTTTCCAGGATTTATAATAATTGGAGTAATGCAAATGCATATTTTCTAAAAAAAGTCATTTTTAGTGAAATTTTGCCGGGAATGGGGCTTTAAATTCATTTAATGTTGAGGCATTAATTATTTCACTAGGTAGTGAATTCCACTTTTCGATAATATAATACGAAAAAAAGTTTTTTTCTGTGCATAGTCTGCTGTTTTGCAATCTTAAACTTATGACCTCTAGTTATTGAGTCCTTTATAAAAACAAAATAATCATTTAAATTTATATTGTCAAAGCCATTCATCATTCTAAAAAGCTGCAATAAGCATGCCCGCTCTCTCCTATACTCTAAAGTATTTAGTTTTGTTACTCGTAATCTTTCTTCATAAGACATGTTTTATAAAGGGGGAGCTAATTTTAATGATCTTCTTTGAACCTCTTCAAGAGCTTGAACATCCTCCTTATTATGTGGTAACTGTAAAATAGAGCAACTTGTGTAGCGCCCTCAATTGGGTATGGAAAGTTCGAAGTAGTAGATCGCCTAGTAACCAGATCACAATGCGTAAATTGAAGTTAAATTCACCATAATGAGATATGTAGAGATAATTTCGTTGTTATATTATGATTCTTTGATTCAGTGTTATATGCTTTGGAGTTTGCAATGACCTAATTAGAGTTAAGCTTTGGCTTAAGCCGTTAATTATCATGTTAAAGTTAAGACCTATATTACCGTAAGTAATGCTATGCATGAACGTGAACAGACGAGGAGACGCAAGTGCAGGTAGAGAGTCGACCTTTGACCTTTATAGGCCTAGGATGTTCCTACGAATATTTCATGTGTTTCATAGATTTATCGATGTGGGCTTTGTTAATTATTATCTTGTTATATGTTTAACTACAGAAACCATTGTGAGATGGATGAAACTGAACATAAAACCGACTACGTTTCATGGTCCCTCGAGCCGGATGTCGCTACCGTAATGGATCCGAACCAATTTCCTACTCTAGTTAGCTCAAGTCTAGGATTAACTACAACCTGGCCTAGTGGCCTAGCTCCAGGATCTATTTTAGTGACTTCGCCTACAAATGTAGGCTCCACCACCGAACCAGTTAACCAAGTCTTACCACCACCTAAAACTGTACCAAGTCCTGACCCACTACTAACTCAGTGGGACAATCCGACCTGCCCCTCATCCCAGCCTGAGCTAGAAATCACACCAAATGACAGTGCTAGCCAAAGAGGATCGACAACCTCATCTGTCCATGCGAGAAGGTGCATCGAACTAAAAGCCAGAGCTACCGCACTGGAGAGACAACGGAAATTAAATGAAAGACAGATAGCCATTGAAGAGGCCTTAGAACAGGCACACCTACAGCAGCTCAACATCCTGTAGCATCCAATGATCAATCCATAGGAGCAGCTCAATTTCCTGTAGCATCCAGTGCTCAAACCGTAGGAGCAGCTCAATTCCCCTCAATAATAATTCGGGTGAATTATTGCTCAGTTCACCTTATCAACAACCATCACGTGCATATCCGCCTGCATCATTGTATGGCATCCCAAGGCCTACACTTCCCCATTTTAGTAGCGGAAAGGAGAAAGACTTCGCCTTACTGAAGATGGCCTTAGACAGTCTGTTAGGGGTTTCCTCATCTCACCGAACAATGCAAGTATCAAGTGTTGCTGAGACACCTTGGTGGCAATATTAGGAAACTGGCTGAAGCATTTATCCATGAGACCAAGCCCTACTCAGCTGCACTTTCAGCCTTGCAAGAAAAGTATGGACAGCCGCGACAACTTGTCCAAAGCGAGATTGGACAACTACTACAAACACCTCCTATCCGATCTAATGATACTGATAATTTTGAGAATTTCGCACTGTCAGTGCATTCATTAGTGGGTATGTTACGGTCGATAGAAGGCGATAGTGGTTATGAACTCCAGTGTGGTTCCCATGTGGATCGGCTAATCAGTAAACTGGCACCTCCTATCCGTGATCGATTTGTAGAGCATTGCATCAACAGAAAGGTTATAGACAAGAAAGGTTACAGACAAGACTTACAACCTTAAGGATCTTTCAGACTGGTTACAAAATAGAACACGAGCCCAGCGAATAGCAAACCAAGCCTCTACACTGTACAAAGAGCATTATCCTGTAACCAAGAAACCATCGAGAACAACAAGTTTCATGACGACTGAGAGAAAGTATACGTTCTCAAAGATGTTCTGCCCTTACTGCACCTCCAATAATCACTATCTGGGAGGGTGCAGAGAGTTCAAAGAACTGAAGGTTGAACAAGTAGTTCATTGGATTTAAAAAAATAAGCGGTGCTGGCGCTGTGGCAGGACACATTTACCGGAAAATTGTACCCTTAAGCGACCCTGTAGACAGTGCAATGACTTGCATTTGACAGTGCTGCATGATGCGACTACCAATGGGGGGAACAAGCCGCCATCTACAGTCCAGTTGTACATAGACAGGCAACATCGTCCTCAAAATGTCATGCTGAAATCTCACCAATCACCCTTCATGGTCCTAAATCCTACATTGACACATATGCAATCCTCGACGATGGATCTATGCGGACAATCATTATGACTCAAGCGCCTAATAAGCTTCATATCACTGGAGTTAAAGACAGTATCTTACTTATGACTGTTAATCAGGGTAGAACCGAATGCAGTGGTTATTCCCTGAACCTGCAAGTGTCATCCCGAGATAATCACCAATGTCGCTTCAGTCTACAGGGGGTGTTCAGTGCTCATCAGCTAAGCTTCTCAGAGTACACCCATCCAATCCAGTCTCTTCAGAAAAGATATGCTCATCTAAGACCAATAACTTTGGCAGATATTAACCAGGCAAAGCCGTTAATCTTGATTGGTTCAGATAATGCAGGACTCATTCTTCCCGTGGAACCAGTACGTCTAGGGCCTAGGGGAGCTCCAGCTGCAATCAGGACAGCATTAGGGTGGACGATACAAGGTCCATCTCATCTACTGACATATCAGCGACCTTAATCCCCATATTTTGTCAACACTCAAGTAAATCAGGATTTGTTGAAAAATGTGAAACGACTGTGGGAAATTGACATTTTACCTTATTCCAAACATGCCGTTAGGTCTCGTCAATATAATCAAGCAGTAGAACTCTTGAAAAAGAAGACGGTTCGCGTTAAAATCAATGGGATAAACCGTTATGCCACTCCGTTTCTTCGCACACAAAATGACGTAACATTTCATGCTAGGCCTGAAGCGGTCCTACCCATTCTTAGACGTTCAGAACGGCAACTTCAGACCAATCCAGAAAAGGCAGAAACCCACAACCAACCGGTGAGGAAGCTGGTGGATGATGGTTGTGTTAAAGAAATATCTAGAGAGGAAGCTGATCAGTCAAATGAATCATGGTACTTCCCACATCATGTAGTCTCCCACAATGGGAAAGATAGACTAGTATTCAATTGCTCATATGAACACAATGGAAAGGTGTTAAATGCTAACCTACTTCCCGGACCAACCCTTGGTGCTAACGGGCCATTCTGTCCAGAGACCGTAGGAAGCCATGGTTTATAATCTGTCTCTTATACACATCTCACAGGTCATCTATCCAGAGACTGAATTGCTTGGACGTAAGAGATGGCGCCATAGCCAGGTGTTGTCCGATCATTTTTGGAAACACTTCATAACTTATTACCTACCCGGTCTTCAGACTAGACAGAAGTGGTATAAAGAATCAAAAAACTTAACAGTTGGCGATGTTGTGCTTATTGTAGATAAGCTATTACCTCGAGCACAATGGCCCGTTGGATCGGTGACAAAAGTGTTCCCTGGCCGGGACAGCAGAGTAAGAGCAGTTGATGTTTGTGTCCGTGGCACGATGTACCGACGACCGGTGGAGATGTGTATAAGAGACAGGTTATATTGAGATTCAGACAGCACAGAGTTGCTGTTTCCGGCGATATAAAGGCTATAAAGGCCCTTTCTTCGGTTCGTATGGCGAGACTTACAACGAAATATTGAACCATGTATATATGAATGGCAGGTATTGCCATTTGGAACAACCTGCAGTACATGTTGTGCAACATTCACACTTCAAAAACATGTCAACAATTACCGCAAAGGATATGAAAATGTGGTTCACTCAGTGGAACACGCATTATATGTGGACAATTGTCTTGACAGTTTGCCTACGGTTACAGAAGCCAATGAATGATGAATATGCGAATCTTGCTTGCTGATGGAGGTTTTAACATAAGACAGTGGGCAAGCAATGTCCCTGGTGTACTTTCAGAGCTCCCAAAAGATTCCATATCACAGAACTACGAATTTTCAATTCCCACTGGAGATGATAACCCCGAGCCTATGCTAGGCCTCCGATGGAGATGTCAAAGTGATACTTTGCATTATGGCCAGAACCATGTTATCTACGATCACCTGAACCTTCGAACAATTTACAGAATTTTAGCAAGTCCGTACGACCCTATTGGGTTTCTTGGTCACTACATTACTCGAGCAAAGGTCATTGTACAAGACTTGTGGAAAGTCAGTAGACACTGGGACACCACAATAGAGGATGGAGCTATAAGACGAAGATGGATTAAATGGGAAGAAGAACTTGAAGACCTACCCTTAGTATCTTTACCACGGTGTTACACACCAAGCAATACCAAACTGCTAGAATCCAGTCGACAACTGCACATTTTCTGTGACGCATCTGAGCGGATCTATGGCTCGGTAGCCTACCTGCGCACTGTTGATGAAAACTCTACTTATGTCAGTTTTGTAATGGCCAGATGTAGGGTGCCCCCGAAACGTCAACTATCCATGCCCAGATTAGAGCTGTCCGCAGCTTTAACAGGAGCTCAACTTTCTGACCTTATTAGGAAAGAGCCAACGATCCCGATCACTACAACATATTACTGGAGTGACTCTACCACAGTTCTGCGGTGGCTGCAATCAGAATCTTGTAGGTTTAAAGTATTTGTTGGAACAAGAGTAAGTGAAATCCAGCAGTTAACGCATGATTGCGAATGGTGCTATATCAACACCACGCTCAACCCTGCAGATGATATAACTCGTGGAATGTCACTCAAGGACCTATCAATTGATGGAAGATGGAGAGATGGACCTGCCTTCCTTCAACAACCTTGCAGTGAATGGCATCAAGAAACAGCTCCAGAGAAGAAGGAGGAAGTGGCAGAGATAAGAGGTGGTGTGTTCTGTGGAGTCACCCAGGTACAAACTGAGCTTCAACTCGAAAGTTTCAGCCAGCTTGACGACCTTATTAAGGCCACCAGAGAGAGCCTCGATGGGGCGGCCCACTCGACTGAAAGCATTGAGCATATCCTCTGGAAAAGGGTGCAAATCGAGTGTTTCAGAGACGAAGTAACAGCCCTTAAAGCTGGGAAACCCCTTCCTACAAGTAGCAGATTAACACAGTTAGATCCATTTTACAACACAACCACTGGACTGATAAGTGTGGGAGGAAGATTGAGGGAAGCTGAACTCCTGCCCGAACAAACAAAACATGCCATAATACTGGACCCTAAACACAGCATAACCAAACTGCTCATCAAAAGCTATGATCAAAGGCTACATCACCCTGGACCAGAAAGGGTGTTGGCCAAAATACGTCGAAAGTTTTGGATTCTCAGAGGACGAGAGGCCATCCGTGGTCAACAACGGCAATGTGCACATTGTCAGAAGTGGCGTAATCCAAAAATCCCAAAGATGAGTGACCTACCCCAATCCCGTCTTAGGCTTTTCAAACCGGCATTCCATTCAACCGGAGTAGATTGTTTTGGTCCTATGACAGTAAAGATAGGAAGAAAGAGTGAGAAGAGATGGGGCATCATATATAAATGCATGACAACTCGTTCAATACACTTGGATCTACTAGAAAGTATGGACGTAGATTCCTTCTTGATGTCACTGCGCCGTTTTATAGCCCGAAGGGGGAAACCATATGAAATCCTCTCCGACTGTGGCACTAATTTCAAAGGAGGAGATAAGGAGCTCCAGCAGGCATTCCATGCTATGAGTACAGAATTACATACAGAATTACAGACACAACTTGCAGACCAAAGAGTGTGTTTCAAGTTCAACCCACCATTAGCCCCCCACTTTGGGGGTACATGGGAGAGAGAGATTAAGAGTGTCAAACATGCTCTCCATGTTGCTCTGGGAGCTCAGAGCGTAACCGAAGCAGTACTGCGGACAGTAATGATTGAGGTGGAAGGGATCTTGAATTCCAAACCATTAGGTTATGTGTCATCGGACACTAGAAATGTGAATCCTATCACCCCGAACATCCTACTCATGGGTAGATACGATCCAGCATTACCACAGGTCATCTATCCAGAGACTGAATTGCTTGGACGTAAGAGATGGCGCCATAGCCAGGTGTTGTCCATCATTTTTGGAAACACTTCATAACTTATTACCTACCCGGTCTTCAGACTAGACAGAAGTGGTATAAAGAATCAAAAAACTTAACAGTTGGCGATGTTGTGCTTATTGTAGGTAAGCTATTACCTCGAGCACAATGGTCCGTTGGATCGGTGACAGAAGTGTTCCCTGGCCGGGACGGCAGAGTAAGAGCAGTTGATGTTTGTGTCCGTGGCACGATGTACCGACGACCGGTGGCAAAGCTTATCAAGTTGCCAGAAGAGAAGGATGAACCAATGATCGCTGAATAGAACGTGCCCGAATGTTAACTTAAAGTGGCTATTGAACTGATTTGTTATGTTTATAGGATTATTGTTGAATATTGTTAATCTGTTAGATTGTTAACTTTATAATTATAATACGCAAATTTACATGTAAATTTGGGGGCGGCTGTAAAATAGAGCAACTTGTGTAGCGAAGTAGTAGATCGCCTAGTAACCAGATCACAGTGCGTAAATTGAAGTAAGTTAAATTCATCATGAGATATGTAGAGATAATTTCATTGTTATATTATGATTCTTTGATTCAGTGTTATATGCTTTGGATTTTGCAATTAGCTAATTAGAGTTAAGCTTTGGCTTAAGCCGTTTAATTATCATGTTGAAGTTAAGACCTATATTACCGTAAGTAATGCTATGCATAAACGTGAACAGACGGGGAGATGCAAGTGCAGGTAGAGAGTCGACCTTTGACCTTTATAGGCCTAGGATGTTCCTACGAATATTTCATGTGTTTCATAGATTTATCGATGTGGGCTTTGTTAATTATTATCTTGTTATATGTTTAACTACAGAATAAAACCATTGTGAGATGGATGAAACTGAACATAAAACCGACTACGTTTCAGTAACCATGCAGTAGCACAATATTCTAAAGTAGGTCTAATTAATGATTTATATATTATATTAATGGATTCAGTATCTAAGTAGCTAAATGAACCTTTTATAAGACCAATCTTTCTATTTGATCTTTTAATAACATTAGCTACTTGATTACGAAATTTTCAGGATACATCTATTATTACTCCTAAATCATTTATATTGGAAACACTTTCAAGTTCTACTCTCACTACCAATACCCATGTACTGTAATATGTAACTCCTGTAGTTTTTCTTCCCATGTGTACAATTTTACATTTAGATAAATTAAAGGGTAATTGCCAATCAACAGACCATTTATACATCATCTCAATAGCATGCTGGAAATGCTCTGCATCAATTTGATTGTTAACGACTATACATCTTAGTGTCATCAACAAATATCGCAAAAAAATGAGTTCACAACGGAAGGAAGGTCATTGATGAAGATTAAAAATAATAAACTACCAAGTACACTTCCCTGAGGTACCCCACTGGACTCCAATCAGAAAAACTCCATCCCATCCTAACTCTTTGTTTTCTGTTTGACAAATACGCTTTTATCCATAAAAGCAAATACCCACTTATTCCATATGATTCTAACTTTGTCAACAGTCTACCATGGGGGACACTATCAAAGGCATTTTGAAAGTCCATATATATATATATATACAATCAATCGAGTTTCCTTTATCCAACAATCGCGACCAATGGTCAATAACATGCAATAACTGAGTATTGCAAGAACGGCCTTTTCGAAATCCGTGCTGTTCAGGGCAAAACAGGAAGTTATCTTCCATATGAGAAGATATTGAATTTTTTTATAAATGTTTCCATTGTTTTACACAAGGTAGAAGTTAGGCTTATTGGACGATAGTTAACGGGATAGTTAACGAGTGACGGGATCACTCCTGTTTCCTTTTTTAAAAATTGGAACTATATTAGCATTCCTCCAACTTTCATGGACTATTTCATCGATAAGTAGTTTTTCAAACGCAACTGCTAATACAGGGCTAATTTCATGACTCAATTCCTTGAAGACTCTATTATGATACCATCAGGCCCACAGCTGATTTAGAGATATTTAAGTCACTGAGGTACTCCTTCACTAACCGTAACTGGCACCATTGAGATAAACTGACCATAGGCGTAGATGGGGGATGGGGGATATATCCCCCCAATATTTGACAAGGGGGGATGGTCCATATCATCCCCCCCAATATTTTGACTATGTATGGGATAAAATGGAGCTTTACACACTTCAAAAGACTGTCAAAGAAATAATTTGCACTGTCTTATGCGCTTACAAAGATGAAAATTAGCATAATGTATTGATGTTGATAACAAAATTATTTTATCTGGTACCAATCTAAGCTCTTCTTTCCTTAGATGTTAGATGTGCTTGCAAAGAGAGCCACATTTCACACTGAAGAGTGTGGACGACATCAGTTATGTTATTTCAATTCCAAGGTTATATCGGTTGATGAGGAATTTATTGATTAGGCCTATAATAGTAAATTGCATCAATTTATTATGCAAAAACAAGGTTTCCAGCTTCAGAGGGGGTCACATCCCCTGTCCGCACGAGGGCACACACTGGCGCTAACACCAGGCGCGTAACAGGGGTCTTGGGTCAGAGTGGGTATTTATTAATTTTATTTTTTATTTCAACCATCTTTAAAGAGGGTAACCCTTCTAGTTTAGTCCAGTAGGTTAACTAATATTCAGGGGCCCTCTTTAATAAAATTAAAGAACAGTACAAACAACATCATTACAACATAATAATAATAAATATATGCATTTTCATCATGGTTTTATTTATTACAAACATATTCTTTCACCATCTATACACATTGAGGC